GATGCGGACGTAGCAGTGGGTGCCCAGGGAGGGGTCGTTGAGGCAGGCGGGGGGGTTCTCCCGCACCACCCAGCGGAAGGTCTCGCCCGGCCGCCGGCCGATGCTCCAGAGCAGCCGCAGCCCGGCGATGCAGGCGCACACCCCGCAGTAGCTGTAAACCAACGCCCAGAAGAGCAGCGCCCGTGCGGCCACCATCACCCGGCGGGCGGGCGGAGGGCACGCAGCGCCGGGTCTCGCCATCGGGCCCCGCCGCCGCCGCTCCCGCCGGCCGCCCGCACGCCCCGGGGCTCGCCGGACCCCGGGCGGTGCCTCGGGGTGGCGGCGCTGCTGCGGGGGTCGCGCCTGCCCGCGCAGGGCTTGGCCAAGGAGGGCTCTGCTCCCAGGTATTCGGCGGTGAAAGAGGGAGAAGCCGTCCCTGGGGCGGCGGGTGCGGCTGTGTCACCTGCGCGCTCCGGCAGAGCCACCAGACACATCGGAACGCGCTCGGAATGTCATTGGGAGCAGCGGCCGCGGCCGGCGGGCCGTGCCTGCCCAGGCCCAGGCACTGCACAGCCCGAGCGCGCCCTTGAGCGCCCTTACCTTATTGCCGTGCCACATGTGGATAACTACAGGCATGGGGCTGTGTGCTCGCACCGTAGTGTCTTTCAAGACCGCATTCTTTCACTAGCGTTTCACTATTACCCTTTTAAAGGTGATTGGTAAACGTATTTACAATTTTAGTTATTATATGCTAATACTAATGAATATTTCTTTAAAAAAGATAAATCACCTAAACTTGACTGAAGTCTGTATCAATATCTCAGCTGTGGAGGGCTGACAGAAGCTGAACAGTCCCTTCCTGCCCATTAGTACATCACTACAAGTGTACATCAAAGAGTCACTGTCTCCTACAAGGCCACAGATGCCAGGGTAAGAAGAAAGTCACCAGTCTGTCTCCTACTAACCTACTGATATGCAGGGTAAAGGGTAATTTAAAACTATAATGGCTCACATAATCCAAAACTGTAAGTACAAGTGTAACTATATGAAGCAATTGATTTTACAGGTTGTAAAAGTGCGTTATAGGAAATTACAGTTTGTTAGCTCTAGAAGATAGCAAAATGCGGACATGGTATTTGCTGACTGCCAGAAAAGTATAATGAGCTTATATGTCAAATCCTGATCTAACTCACTGTATGGCCTACTCACCTTCACTCCTAGATCCTTTGCTTCTGAGACTAGAGGATATGGGCAGGTTCAAGACTTTGGAGGCCACATGAGAATCACAGCTCATATGCCTACATGCAGCTTCTTCCCATTTGAAGAGTGCAGGGTTGCCAAATTCTATGAAAAACAAAATTTGTTCTTGGTCCAGATGAGTCTGTAGGATTAGAACTTAACTTCTGAGAAATATTTTTGCTCTGTCCAGCAGTGCAAATAGAAGCTGGTACAAAGGCACTATCCATCTGTTAACTCTAAGATGTGTGATTCAATGAGTTAGTTTTAAAAAAATTGGATAAGCAGGCATGCAGACAGAATATATATGATTTTTCACTATGCATGGAACACAGCTTGTAGATGACTTTTGTCTGTAACATAGCAAATGCTTTCTCCTACTTGTTCTAAATTCAGACTTACAAATATAGACACTGATGTTGAATCCTAGGCCCATTGAAGGCAGAGACAGAATTAATGCTGGTTTCAATAAGGTCAAAATTTTTACTTTTTTAGAAAATCAAATAAAATGAATTAAAGCAGCAGAAAGGAATGTTATAAAGAATGGCTGTAACTGCATGTTTATAAATTTAAAAGCTAAAACAAGTTTAAGCCCTAATATGAATTTATTTTCGATTACTAAAGATAACATTTTTTGTAGCCGTAAAAAGCTGCCAAATTTGCTGTTATCTATAACACAAATGAAATATCAGCGACCTACACCAGCTGCCAATGCTGAATAACACTGTTCATGATGCCTGCTCCTTGTCTGAACACAAGCCTTACAAACGTGAGGTCAGGAGCTTTATCAGCCTGCTGGGGAAAGAGGTGCAGGGCTGTTTAAGGCTTCCTCATTCTCTTGGGCAAGAAGAGAAGGAACATGAGATGCAGATGATTCAGTTCAGTCACCGAGCTCTGCAGACTCCAGTAGGATTGCATGAATCATGCGTGCTGAGCCTGAGCTTTCCCTTCGTGCTCAGATTACTCACGCCGCCAACCCTAGGATTAGCATACAGCTAATTTCTTATGCATCAGACTTCGTGCTAATGACCTTTCTTGTAGGAAAGAAGCCTTTGCAACTTCTCAATATCAGACTAAGCAGCAGCAGAATTTTCCCTGAAGTGCACCTCAGTAAGCCAATGACCCAGTTAGATAAATTAGGAAGTTTGGCAGGAGCAAAACAACCAATGTGGTTGTTTATATTATGGTAGCCATCAAATTTCTTAATAAACCAGTAATCAGAATTATTATAACATCCCCTAATAAAAATTGGAAAACACATTTGAAATCCTGAAACTGACCACAAGCTTTCACTTGCCTTCAAAGAAAGGTTGATGAAAGATTTAGGCAGGGCAACATAAAATTCCTGTAGCCATCTAGAATACAAGAAGGAATAAAGATGCAACCACGATGTGCCTTATTATACAAAGGTATTTGGCCAAGCTACACAGTAGTTCTTGTTTAAAGAAAGAAGCCGAGCAAATTTTTTCACAATAATAGAACCAAGTCTGTTTGTATTTTATACTTCACTAACTACCTCAATAGTTATGTGAAACTTCTAAATTATATAAACCTTTTGGCTACAGAGTTTAGCTATGCCATCTTGAGGTAGTGGATATGGATCTGGCATCAGAGCTGGGAAGAAGGTAGTGCTGGCGATCTAGCAGTTCTGAGCAGTGTTTGCACAATGAAATTGCTGCACACCCTAATGCAGGATTTCTGGGCACCACCTGTGCTGCCTTAGCTGTTCTGTTTTCCAAGGAAGCCGTAGAATTCCTGCATTATTTAGGAACACCTACTTTGTACTCTAGGACCACACTGTCCACATATGTATAGCAAATGTGTTTGTATGAGGCAAATACCTTCCACATGTTTTCCAGGATTTTGCAGAAGAAAGCTTAGAATCTTCTACCTGTCATATGAATAAGAAAAATTGAGAGCCCCAACAATTATTTTTCTGTCTTCTTTACATTTTGATTTTCTCATCTTCTGCTCTAAATTACTGTTGTAATGGGTGCCAAGCCAAACCAACCCCAGGGCAGATGGTCTTACGTGCTTTGACAGTGTGCTTTGCCCTCCATAAGGTGCCATCTGCCTGTTTATCTTCTGTCAGCTCAACTAATCCTGGTTCTCTGAGATACAAAAGAGGACAACTTTGCACATCACTGATTTTGCCTCTGCCTCCAGCCTGACCAACTCATAGTTGATAGTAAGAAATTTACCCTATTCCATTTATTAGTTACAGAGGAACTTCTTAAAGCCAATAACTATCTTACCTTTCATTTATATGTGGATACAATGTGCTAGCATAGACACAAGTATGTAAGTGACACATTAAAGCAGCTGTTTCCACAAATGATAAAAGTAAATGAATGGTGTAACAGAACTTGTACCCAAGTGGTATTTCTGCATCTTTGAGCACGTTCATGGCTTTGTGCAAACAGTCCTTAGAGGCTTGTTACTCACATTTGGAGGCCATCTCCCTTACCTCTGGATTCAGCCTTCTGTCTGTGGACAGGAACTGATGATCCTCTCCAAGTGCCTTGGAGGTTGCAAATAAAGGGTTTATCAGATTAGCATTAGCAGTGCTGACATGGTGACTTTAAGCTGTCGTGACAGTATAGAGTCATGGAAGCTGGAATTAGTTTTTGAAGGGACAACAACACCAGTTCATACCAGCAATGCCCATATCGCTGTATCCAATGGATGAAATGCTCAGAAGGAATTCTTGCCCTTCCCTCTGTCACCTCATATTTCCAAAGCAAGAGCTCTCGAGCTTGCATTAACCCAGAGAGAAAGTATATCCAAGTGACAGCAAGGTAGAGAGTCCTGGATGTGAACTGCAGCATTTTATTGCAGGACAAATAACTCTTAACAATGTATAACTACAAATGAAGGCAGGTCACTTTTGGTGTGGATATGAAAGTCATCTAACAGCACCACTTTACATTACAACCCATCTTTCATCCTAAATCCCTGTCCTAGCCAGGTCCTCAAATCTCCTGAACAGCATACACTTGAACATACCTCCAGGCCAGGAGATCCCTGGACATTGCACAGGGTGCTGGCCCAATCTGAGTGTTTGTCACACACAGTCTTTGTGCTATTGAATGAAATATTACCGTTCCAGCAATGGCAGAATTTGAAGATCTATGGCTATATTGAATAAATTTATTGGAACTAGCACTAACTCATCAGCCTGCTCCCTGAATGACCAGGCTACCATTTCTGGGCATGCTTTAGCTGGCATTTCTGAATTTAGAAGAAATTTATTGTCGTCTCTGAAAATTCAGTTATTTGTACAAAAATTTGTTCACTTAGGTTACTTAGTTTGGTTGCCTGTGGCAGAATCTCACCACAACTGGCAGTGTTACTTTTGCATTTCATCCAGGAACTTGACAAATTGAAGCTCTCAGAGTTTTGAGTGGGAGGCTCAATGAGATCAGTAGTCTCCAAAGTGGAGTGTGGGAATAAAATATTGAATACAATTTTTAAAATTACAAAATAAAATAATAAATAAGCAGGGTTAAAAACAAAACAAATTTAAAATATTATAATGTAATGTAAAAAATATACCAGTACAGTGGAATATTGTATACAATTCATAAATTAATAAATATACGTGTCTTGGGGTCCATGCTTAAATATTTAAATGATGGGGTACATGACAAAAAGGGTTTGGAGACTACTAAACTAGACTGTCTGAAGGGGGCCCCTTCCACCCAGCATTTCTGTAATACACATTGTGTTTTGGTAATAATTCCATAAAACCATGTTTTGTTTGTCCCATCTTTATTTCCCCCCACACCATATATAATCAACAAGAATATGTGGTTTTCACATTCTGGTTTCTACCAGAGACTTTTTCAACACTAATAATATCTTGCATCAATTAGAAAATCTTTCAAACTGATGCCAGTTTGCCATAATTTCTTCCTGAGAAGAACTAGAACTATGTGGCAAACATGTTTGCACCCTTAGCTAAATGTTATGTTAACATAAAATTCATTAAACATATCTGGGCCTTAAAGTACATACAAGTAGATAAGATTTACTGATGAAATGAAAGAGTTCATGGAAGCCTTTTTTTGTGATTACAAGTAATGTTACACCCCCCCTCCAGACAGTATCACTTCTACAGAGATCTTTTTGTCAGCCCAGATTTTGTACAGGTGTGTCACAGTAAAGTGATTTTTTGTAATACCAGATATACACAACAGATGAAACTGTAATCAAATGAACAACTCCATTCCACTGTGTAGCAGAATAGATCACATGTTATAAACAAGCAGTGAAAAGAAATAAATCTTGTGACACTTCAAGTATTACTGAACAAGCTTTTAATACAAAGCATTTTAGAGAAGATCCTTAAAGTAGTCTTAATATTTAAGATCCTAACTAGTACAAAACTGTGCTGCTTTTAGTAGTTTGAAGTTAAATTCTATATAAACTACTGCTTTCACTCAAGATATTCTTCAAAAGATGCCATAATATCTCTCTGCAGATTCACATCAATTATCCAAGCTGTCTGCAAGAAAGCAAACAAGTGTGTTTTTAGAGCAGTCAGACATTAACGAATACTATGCAGGTCAAATACTTAATGATTTAAGAGAAAACTATAAAGCAGCTTCTCAAAAATTGTATGTCTTCTCCATTGTGACTCTAAGTTTGAGTGTGCATATGTTGTTGAAGCCCTCAGAAAAGAGCTGAAGGATGAAAGCTTCAGTTGAACTTACCTGACTCCAGCATGGTCTCACACCAGTACTGACATTCCATTGTACAACACTATGAATTTTTAAAAAATGTTTAATCTAAAAAAGGTAGCAATTAGAAAACATTCATTACTGTCACCAATAAAACCTGTTAGTTTTAAATGGCTCAGGCCTGGTATTTCACACCAGAGCAGTATGACTAGCATTTTTGTTGACACGGAACACATTAAGAAGGATGGACAGCTTGCAACATTCAAGGTTTGAAATTATTTAGAGGGCAGGGACTCCTCTTCAGAATCTAATTTTACCACACAATTATTCTAAGTTTATGGGAGTACTAGGACCAAGCAGATAGCTTTCATATGATGTCACTTGAAGACATACTTGGAGTTTCCTATTGCATTTTCTGCACTAACTCTTCAGGTAGTATAGTTTGTTGTTTTCAATCATTCAGATCATTTGAAAAAGGATGTGATGTAATATTTGTTTACTCTCTAGTAAAGTTGAAAAGATGTAGCAGGAGTCAGAAACTTACTGCTTCCTTCCTCCTGCGTTCTTGTTCCATTTTTCTAGCCAAGTTACGGTCTTGATCAAGAACACATTGTTGAACTTCAGGCAGTCTACTCTCATGTATTTCTTTTTCAAGCTCACAGTCTGTCACTGCCATGGCATCCAATCCTGTGCTTTCATGGCCCCTTTAAAGACAGGAGAAGAAATCAGTATAGGATAAAAGTTCTTTTTTTTTTTTCCACAACAACCTGATAGAATTCTGCAAATAATTTAAATCAGTTCCCAGCACTTGAAGTGTGGGTCTCTTTCACATTATTTCATAGCGATTTTCCTTCACAAGAGCTATGCGCACACATGGTTGGGCTGTAGTAGGTTCATGTTCCCTGTGTCCGATTTCATAGCGATTTTCCTTCACAAGAAAGGAAATGGTTGGGCTGTAGTAGGTTCATGTTCCCTGTGTCCCATTTCTAATCTGTATGCATGTGGGATTTATAGATATACCACACAACATTTACATACACCTGCTTTGAAATTCTTTATTTTCTGCTACTTTCTTGGCCTGTGATGATTTTTTCTACCTTCTTCCTCTTAAATTAGTTATTTGAGGTAGATTTCACTAATTTCTGAAGCAGTAGATTTCACTAATTTCTTAAGTTTCTCAAATGCTGTGGATACTAAAATAAAACAATCTAAACAATTGACTTATTCTAATACAACCAGCATGGGCAAGTGCAGGAGAATTTAGGAACCAGCTCAGATTTATCTTTCACAGGGTGAAACAGGCAAGGGAAAAAAGTAGACTACTGGAGAGGGGAATATTGCCAACAGTTTCCGAAAGGTGGCAAACAAACTCCAGGATATTACTGCAATGCAGTAATTAGTAGGCAGTCATTTATCCCACTCAGCAAGGCCAGAGACTTCAGGGGACTGCCTGAAACAGGAGCTGCAAACAGCTAGGGAAGCAGGGCTTATTGAAGGTGCTTTTCTACAGCAATGCAAAGAATTCTGCTGTGTGAAGTGATACACACTGGAACTCCTGTGTAGCAATGTTAACCATATGCTCTCAAAGACTGGACTGTCCTGTATCCCCTTAGGAGAGCACTAAGATGAGGACATTCCTGGCTAGCGGTATAAATGGGACAAATGTGTACTCTGGTCACGAGTGCTCCAGGGGACCAAAGCCTGTCACCTTAGTACCCAAACAAAAACCAAATTCCCCTCCATCCAGAAAAAAAACCCCAAAAACCAAAATCCCACCCCCACCTGCCCCCCCGCCAAAAAAAAAAAAAAAACAAACAAAACCAACCTGAAAAAGAAAATCCTGAAGCAAACTAACAGCAACAACAATGAAAAATTCCTGGGAAGTTTCTCTGAATGCTGCAACAATACTGATTTGAAGAGAAAGCTGCTCTGTGCATTTTGGAGGTGCATTATTGCTTAGCATGGTACAGCTCCCCGTTTTCACCTGACATGTGACAAATACCTAACCAAAACCCCTTATTCCTGAATAACTAAGCCTCTCAGTGTCATACAGTCAAAAACCAGAATAATACTTACACAGAAGTGGTTACAAATCTTTTGTTCTCTTGTGGAAGATTTTGCAGCTCCATCTCGGCTTGCACAAGAGACCTTTTTGACTCCTGCACTTGCCCACTCCTCTTTAATACTGCATCTCTGAACTGATTGAAACTCTCAGCAGATGCTTTTATTGGAGCTGGAACCTTCATCGTTTTACACAGGCTTACCCAGGAATCTACAGTCTTCAATGCTGTATCCTGAAGTTATCAGAAAAAGGAAAACACAGAAGAGGGAAAAAGAAAACACTCTGCAACTACTTTACCTGCTTAGTTCTTACATTAGCACAATATTGTTTGACTAGGCCTATTGGAAATATCTACCCTTTGGCAGGATATTAGTGCATATACAGTAATCTGAGCAGATTTTAATGTGCTTTCTCACCAACGTTGAGAGTCTTTGGCAATATGCCAACAATCATTAGCATTTGTAGCTATTCTGACTATTTTAGTTTACCTCTCCACTTTTTCATTTCAGAAAACATGAATTCACAAGGCTGAATTTACACAAGGTCCATTGACAAGGTTTTAACACAGAGAACATCCATCTCATTTCTGTACGCAATCCTTACACAACAATAGTTTTATATTATGCTTATGGGTTTTGTTTGTTCCCCTGGGGCTTTTTTTTATAGCATAAATCAGAATAAAACCAGAATTCTTAAGAAATCCTGCTTCTAGTAGAAGCATGTGCTTATGAAGGAAACACATATTTTTGGAATTTAATTCAACATGTTAGTTAACAGCTTTCTGAAACCTAAGTGCCTAAAGAAAAATCCTAGAAATATTTTAGTTCAACAGATGATATAGAAAACTTTTTAGGTTGAGAGGTTGACATTAGTAATTTTGAATGAATGTTTTCAATTAGCTGATTATAAGAGAACAATTTAGTGGATAAGAAAATACCTCTAACCTTCCAATTAAGATGATTTACTGTATGCTAGGAAAGATTTTGCTCAACTGTCATAAATACCTTTAGTCATCACAACTACTTTGTCTCATTTCAGAACAGATTTTCCAATAGCACCAAGACTATATTCCACACTACTCATTTTTTTACTGGATCAGTAAGGGAAAGCTCACTAATAACTAGGATATCAGAGCTAGATCAAGGAACACTAGTTCCTTGTTTAAATATTAAAACTAGATGAAACAAGCCATATTTTAAAAAGGCAGCATGGGCATATTAAATGTATACTTATGTACATGTACGTATGTATCTTATATGCCTTACCTTCTGCAATGAAGAGAGTAATTTGTTTGGTTTTAGCAATAAAAATGAGATAAATCTGTACAGATTAAAACAATGACAAAGGCCTACTGTACACTAAATATTCTAATGGTAAAAGAACAGATTTTTAGAGAAGATCCTAGGTCAGGGAGTTATTCAACCTAGTAAATACATACAGCCTCTTCTCAAACAGAACTTGAGCATCACTTACCTTTCTTGGAAGAAGTTCAGACATTGGCTCTAGTATGTTTTTATCACTAGATTTATCATTGGGTGTACAATGACCTGATGGAAGAATGAAAAAAGACTTTTTGATCATGTTGATTTTATAGACTATTCTTTCTCAAATTTAAATGATAAAACTTTAGTATTTCAAGGAATTGACTTAAAAGCTCACAGTGCAGTTTATTATTTGGTTCAGAATGACAGAAATTCTCCCAAACATTTTCTAAGCTTAAGTTGAACTGGACCACTTCTCTCCACTTTTGGGCAGGAAAAAAGTATAGCTAGCTCAACTATAAATGACAAATTAATTCCTGGTTAATACTAGGAGGGGTCCCAGCAGAATGCTTTAAAGATTTGGTCAGGTCAGGAAGGCTCAACACAGCACTTTGCCACTTCCTCTCCTTCTCACCCAGCCCTCTTTCCTTTTGATTCCAGCTTTAGGAGTGCCTGATTGATCATGCAAACTCATTTCACCTAAAGCTCTCAGCCCTATTTACTTTTTAAAAAAAAGCAGATAGGTCAGCCATCAAGGGCTAGTCCTTACATTTCCAGTAGCCTACAGATATACAAATACTTAATGATGTTACTTCTTTATTGAGGGGAAAAAAAACCCCCAAACACTATTTTCAAACTGGAGATAAACAACACATTTTATCTCATTCAGCAGTAACCCTCTACTGTAGTTTGAGATGTTTCATTATTTAAGTAAATGCTTAATAAAAAACTTCAGGTAATATGTTGATACTTTTTAAAAATTATGTAAAAGATAAGTTTTTGAATGCCTGAATCCACAATTCTGGATTCAAAGTATCAAACCCTCAGCCAGTTTGTATTAAAGGGGTTTTCAGCAACACCTCACAGCCACAAAACTTTTTAAGCAAAAATCCTTAGCTGAGGCCATGTACCAATTCCAGCTGCTGCAAGTCTAAGCAAAAGGGAGCAGTAGATGTATGGCTTGGTGTGTTCAGACCCTAAAATTAATAGGAATTAGTGGAGAATTAAACCTCCGTTTTTAGAATTGCTTTAATACACTGCAACTAGTTAGCATTATTCTTTGCCAAAATAAGAATTCATCAGTGAATAGGCTCTGCCTTTTAATTTCATTAAGTTTTCAGTAGCTTCTTCCCTACCTATAAAGGTGTTCTAAAGAGAAAAGAGTAGAGGAAAAACAAAACAATTGTGTCTGGTAATGCTGGACACAAAAAGCATGGATGTTCAGTCAATTCTTTCGTTTGAAATATGTATGAAATATAGAATGCAGCTTTCAGAGGGCCAGTGCTCTTGTAATAATTGCAAGTTTATTCCAAAGTGAAAGTCTCTTTGACATTGATTTGCTGTCACCAAGAGCCAAAGATAATAACTCAAAATACACACGAAGTGCCCTGGGAAAAGAGGTCCATGAAGTTTCAGCAGAAGACACTTCAAAAGCCAGTGAAGTACAACAGATTGAAGCATCAATTCTCAAACTTCATGGAAGACTGGCTTATATATCATCCCTAGTACTACATTCTGAAAGCTAAATTCTTAAATCAAAAAGTAATTTTCTTTACATATTTTAACACAGAACAAGAACCAAACATCTGTTTAATTTCACTTTTTGTTTGTTTGTTTTTAAACAGCAAATAAAAAAAGGAAGAGCAAGGGAAAACTGCATATCCAACCATTATCCTGCAAACTTCTTTATATACAAGGTATTCAGCATGATATTTCTTTAAACCAGTTTCATATGCATTGTTGACTTTGCACCCCTGATAATGGCTACAGTTTTTATTATGACATTACATACTTTGTTCTTGACTTATGGATATTAAATCAGCAGTTCTCATGCTGGTCTTGTTTTGAAGTTTATTTGATTTGTCTAGATGTCTTGTTTGCTCAGCTTGTTTACTCCAGTCAGCACTGTCAACTTGGAAAATGGTGTTGGACTCCTAGAAGAGAAGCTAGACTTCAAAATACGTTCTTTATATTACTTGTGTTTAGCATATGAGGATTCTTATTATACAGCATCAGGATTAAAGGTTTAGAAGCGTTGAGCAGTAAATTCCTGCAGCTCTAGCTTCTGTAAACACCAAAGAAGAAATAGATTTCATTCATATTATGGTAAACAAAGCAAGTTCATAAATCAAGACTTCAGATTTAGAATATGCACAGCTCAGCAATCCCAAGTGATGGAGTGGGTAGTGCATGAGAAACTGATACAAGATCTTTAACCCTTAACACTGTACAGCAGACTAAAGTTGTCATAAAGGCAGTTGCTGCACTCTAGCTTGTGGATCAGGGCAAATGGTGACAGTGGTATTTTTCCTTTGTGCAAGATTACTCTGTGTAGTAATTCCTTGAAGTAAGGACAGTGCTGCACAAACCTGAGTCAAAATTTGCATTACCTGCTACCTTGGACAGTGGACACCAATAGGAAAGGGTGAGCTGCTTTTCATCCTTACTTGCAGGACACATTCTTGTGCTCATATATTCAAGAGGCAGTTTCTATCCATTGCCAAAAATAAAGCTATTACAACCTGATTAAAGCAACTAAATTTTCAGCCATGTTCAGAAAGATTATTAATCATCACAGGATGGAAGTGATCGTGCTGCAGTGATATCAATAACTTCCTTTGCTCCACAGAGGCCCTTCTAACCAGCATACTCTCCAAGAACATATTAAGACAGAACTCGGCAGTCATTAAATATTTTACAACCTCATCTAGACCCTGAAAACCCCAGTTTCCACAGCTTTAGGAAAAGGTATGAAAAGTAACACACTTTCCCAGTAGCAAAAGGGCCGTCAGACCCTCAGTATCGCTGAGTTTTTGAAATTGATATTTCTACAAAACCAAAACACATAATCTGCCTCTTTTGTAAAGCTTTTGGTTTACAGGGTGGACTTTAACCTGTAAGTGTGCAAGGGTTACTTAAGTTTAAGCTATAACCCTGAAAGGAAATAAAATAAGCTTTATAGTACACTATAAACACGATGAGCCAAACTTTCCTTTTGTGTTACAGCCAACAGGCAATGAAGTAATACCCTGTTAAAGGATAAGCGTCACTTTATTATTGGGGTTTTAGAAAACTTTTGTTGTAAACCTTAAATGGCCTTCATCACATCAAATTCAAGCCTGAAGTATTATATTACATCTTGTTTAAAGGGTAAGAACATGCTTTACAGATGCTGTTTGAAATTAATTCATTGGAGAGAAGTACATATTCACCTCTGGAAAAACATTTCTGGTGTGGGTGAGAGAAGACTCATTTGTCTTTGGAGTGCTTTGAGGAGTTTGCTGGTCTGGAGCATCATGCAGAGCAGGTACAGCTGAGATTTTACCTGAGAAAGGGGAAAAAATCACACTCTTTCTATCATGCAAAATGCAGTCCTACATCTCAAAATTAGGTCACTGTTTAGATGTGTGGAGTAACTTAGTATTAAGATATGTATTCTAGCCATGTGATTTAAGAGAGTTATTTTAAATTAGTTTTTAATTGATTTCTCAGTTAATCAGCTACAAGTTCATGCTGCCTTCTACCAAAATCTCAGAAGTGTCTAACATTATTAGACTTTTTTTAATGAGGGAGGGAAAATAGCTCCTTGGATCAAGTGCCTAAGCAACTTGATGTGTCTAGACAACAGCGCTCAGTTCAGAGGACCTGTGGCACCAAGCCTTACATTCAGCTAGTAGGTATTTCAGACATGAACTTGGGTAGTGGGCATGAGTTTAATAATCTAATCTTGTCTTAAGGTGTTCAACACTTCCTGTAACTCCCTTAAGGTAGCCTTTTCCATCTCATTGGAAGGCAGCATGAACACCTCCTGTTTTTAATACTACATTGCCCCACAAGTGTCCCAGTAATCTGAAACCCCCAGCCAATCCTCAGTCCCCCCCCATGCTTTAATTTACATCATGCTCTTTTGGTAATCCATACCCTGCAAGAACTTTTTCAGTTATCCACTTGCTAACCTCCAAAATTCCAAGATAATCTTGTTTGGCAATGCAGGCATCCTGACAACCTTCCTTTTCTCAGCAGTGAAATATAGACATAAATGTATTACCTGAGAGAGTCTGAGCATTTTGTTCTGTTGGATTAAGTGATCTACACTGAAGCATTTGCAGTACATTGGGAGGTTGCTTCTGCAATTCAGATGATCCATGATTTTGCAAGCTGCTAGTAAGAGAGGAGGGCTGTGCTTGCAGAACAGCATTGCAGGATGTCCTCTGCAAACAAAATGGTATTCTCTATAAAGAGACTGCAGTAGTTAATACAGATGATGTTTTTTAATAGCTGTTTGATCCTCTTTTCCCACCACTACCCATTTCCACTGTTTATGAGATTCAGTACCCCTTGTGTTGTGATACTGATCCATCATTTTCTAAGCATTTAGATGACAAAAAGCAATGAGGTAAAGTGCACTCACTGCCTTGGACTGACAGATACAGAAAACCCCTGAGAACAAAATGTAATGTGAGGATTTCAAGTATGATGTTTGTTGCTACTCAGAAGGTCAGTAAGGGGCTGTTACAACTGACCAAGCTGGAGCTCATTTCCTGGATCCTGTTTTCTCAAGTTTATTGCTGTCATTCTGCCACTGCAGAGACTGAAGCTCTTAAGCAAAAAGAGGGTGTTGCATAATTCCTTCCCTGAATCTTTGCTTGTGAAGATGCAGAAGGAGCAGCTGAATAATAAATTTGCAGCCTAGTTTGCTGTATTTTAAGGGAAAGTCTGTCTATTGCAAGAAGAATGAAGGTTTGGCTGTGATTTTGCTTTGAAATTCAAGGTCTCTTTCTCTGGTAGCTTCAAGGGAAATTCTTAAAGGCAGCTAACCTTGACAAGAAATAACACCCACTATATAATACAGAAATAGAGCAACTCAATCTAAGAGGCATTAAGAATTGTTTCTAGATAAAACTGCTGTTGGTTCTAATAATACCATAACAATAAGCAACATTAAAGTATCCTGAAAATAAGTACACATTGTACAATGTATTTATTTTCAGGTGTAGAAGTGAGGTTATTAATAGATTTTAAAAAAATCCAGTTTGTTAGGTCAATTCTATACTCAGAGATCAATTTGGAGACTATTTGCCCTTTTTGGGGGTGGGCGGGATATGTGGAGCATTCTGCCCTTCTTCAACAAACAATGATAATAAAAGATAAAAGCCTCCCAATACATCTGTTCCTATACAGATGCATAAAGTATTTTTAAAAACAGGTCATGGGACACTTCATACCAATCAGTCCTACAGAACAAATAGCATTCAAGCCACATTCATTATCTCCTCATGAAGTTGCATCACTTCTATTACCATTGTATGTTAAAAAATAAGTTGAACAAAGTTAGTTGTAGAATAACTTTGTTATTTCTTTAGGGCAAAATTAGTATATCCATTCTAGCCAGATTTACCTTAGATTTTTCCATTGAAGCTGGACAGTTCTGCCTGGCTCCAGTCTGTTTTGAACAGGTTTCTGTAACTGTAAATACAGTGAGGTAGGCAGAAAAAGGGGGATGGAAAAAACCCAAATCAGTCATTCACATGTTTCATTATTCACACATAGAAGGTGTGAGCTGCAGTTGTACCTAGAGTCAACCTCACAGTGAAAGGAACATTCTTATCTTGGATACTTTGACTTGAGGTTGATGCGTTTAGAGAACTTCTCCCAGCTATAAAAAGAGACCACAGATTTCTGCAGGATCAAAATCTTCATTGCCATTGATTCACTATGTTTGCTCCCCTCCTCCCCCACACTGCAGACGGTTGAGCATTCATCTCACCTTATACCTCATATGGAGGTCTACACTGTAGACCTCCAGTTTGGCAGACATATTCTGTCCTAGAAAACTAAAGAGTTCTGTGTACAGAGAAACATCATTCAGTGTTCTGATGCTGTAATATCCTTTAAACAAACTTGAAACATTTCAAGCACCAGGGTGGATTTTGCCTCTACAGTTAATGCTGTAGGCACTTTTGTTGCTCAGATCACCCTTCATGTTGCAGACCAGAAGATGAAAATAAAGTGAATCACACTTTCAAAAAGGGATCAAAGCTACAAGAGTGAGCTATAGCCCTATAGCCAAGTGTCCAGGTTAGACACAAAGACCTTTTTGGCACACACAAAGCTTATTTTGGTCCCTGTAGATTTTCACTAGTAAGTTGAATGGATGTTGTGGGGGGTTTTGTTGTTTTGTGTTGCCTGGGATTCACAGTATTAAGGCATTCATTTCATAGCATTGGAACGGAGTCTTCAAAATGGAGCAAACCAAACCAAAGATAACTGAAATCCTTGGTAAGCGTGTGGAACAGTAGATGCTAAGAGAAAATATATTTTGCCTACACAAACACAAAAATAAGCTTTCTAACCTGATTCAGAATCACTGCTATCTGAGGAGCTAGAATCACTGCTAGTGCTGCTGCCAGAATCTGAGGAGCTGCTGCTGCTGCTGTCGCTCAGTCTGCTTGGCCCAGTACTTGACTCAGCATTCTTTTCAACTGCAGGAGGAAAAGAAAGAATTCAGAACACCCTGCAATGGAGCATTCTTCCTATACATCCTTGACTATGATCAACCTTGTTAGCTCTATTCTCCCATGTAAGAGTTCATTTTATTTCACTTCCTTGTCTACTGTCCATTTAGCAGTAGACTTGAAAACAAAGACCTGGGAAGAGTGGGATTTACCAGCAGCAAGCTACTTGAATGAATGAAATACCCAAGGAGAAGCTGTAATCACACAGTTTACAATTCTGAAGTAGATTAAAACAGTAGACTTAAGACACAATTCAAGCAATTTTCCCCCATAAGCTTTCCTGCGGTCAAGAGCCTGTTTGTGTGCAGGTTGCTGCTGCCAGATTTGCCTGCAGAGTTCTTTATCTACAGCCAGCTCTTCCTTCCCTAGCCATATGCACTCCCAAATTGCCATCTTTTGCCACCTCCCTACCATCTGACTATTTTGCATCTGCAGGGCTGATTTAACTCAGCTTATAATGATTTTGGAGTCAAGCCTTTTTCAAAGTTTTTTCTCTGTGGAAGCTTCAAAAATGAGAAGTTACATGGATACCTGTTTCCCTGGACACAAGTCCGGATTTAGCTCTTGTAAACATGCCAAATACCAGTTGTAAAGATTTCTTAGTCAGCTTCTTCTCTCTCCTCACAACATATAGTTGATAATTGATTTCAGCTGCTTCTTTAAGATTTTCTTTGTAGGATATTTTCAAGCCATTATGCATACCAGACAGGAAGACTTGACTGAGCTAATGCTGGATACAAATGTCCCTGTGTCTTCCAGAGCTGCTTCTATCATGTCAGCTGATTTTACATAGGAGCTAAATAGATATCCAGTGGAGGGCAATAACAACACTCACGATTTTAATGAGGAACAGCTTGACTTATAATAGCAGCATCAGCTGCATTGATCCATTCTCAGCCCCTGACGAGTACCACCAGTAAGTGTACAGCTCAAGTATGCACTGAATTTTTGGCTTTGATCTTGAAACGCATTATTGCCTGAAAAACCGAATTCTTCTCCTAGGACACTTTTTTAAATCTAGGATAATACAGCACACCTGTCACTGCTATACAAGTTTTGTTAGCATAACAGCATTAGTGACACTGCCATGTAACAAGCATTAATAGAATTGGTTATTCTTATGTCTCTTAATCACAGAAAATGAATTGCAAACAAATAGACTGTGTAACCCTCCACACCCCACCATGTTTTCATATATTAGTATAAGGGAATTGTTTTAGTGTCCCTTAATTTCTGAAACTGTTACCATCTTTACCTGTAATAAAGTATTAGGTGCAGGAATAAGGAAGCTGCTTTAGACAGGACAAGGAACTGACCAAATTTGCTGCTATGACTTCAGCTCACTCAGCATAGAAAAGATCTTGAGACTAGCAGTGGGAAGCTTAAGACCCCACCTACTGTGAGGAGAAAGTCTCCAGATACCTAACAGGACTAAAGCCCAAGGGAAGAATTCCACTTTAAGCTATTTCCATTGCAAATGAATAAAAGTAACAGCCACATTACTCTTGAAGCTCTCCTTCTCTGGGTTTAGTTGACCATTGACATCCAGTAGTCTCTTCTCTAACTCTTGTTTCCTCTCAAAATTAAGTTCTTCTTTTGACTTTGTTGGGGTTTTAGCTGCATGTGAAACAGAAGTTAACATGAAAGCAAAACCAGAAAGCAAATCTAATGGGTTTTTAAAACATCATTTATGCTACATACCATGCTTGCTTTGTTTCTTCCTTAAACAGGTTGCTACATATCTCTCTAGTTCTCTGAGTGTTGAAGCATTTAAAGTTTCAAAGTCTATTTCTATCTCATCAGGGTTAGAGTTCCTCAGTTCAGGTTCTCTTGACTGTATTATATGGACTACTTTCCCAAGCTTATCTCCAGGGAGTTTATTTATGTCCAAACTCAACTGTCGTTTTTCATCATAATTCATAGGTTTGGCACCACCTTCATCTCCTGACTTATGTGCCAACAAGACCTGCTGCATGGTTCTCTTTGATTGACTGCAGGAAAAAAAGTATACTGCAGTAACAGCAGTTTAAAATAATTTGACACCCACACAAGCTCCCCACACTTACATGTTTAAAGACAGCTTTCTCTTAGATTTCTTCATGTATTTCAGATTTTTCTTCTTTTGAATCAAGCTTTTTATTTCAGCTTTTTCCTTGTTCTTTCTTTTCTCTCTTTTAGCCTTTCCTTTTTTCTTTCCTGGTCTAGATAAGCATGCTTTGGTCAAAACCCACAACTGCTGGTGAAGAGCTGTAAGCTATCAAAACCAAAAAGAAAACAAAAAAGCCCACAGAATGTTGATAACTTTGGGCAATATAGGAAGAACAATAAACTGGTCCTGAATATCACAGGAAATTAGTGCCAGCTGAATGGATATTAATAGGATGTCTGTTTTCCAAATGAGATTTATTTTCCAAACATTTTACTATATTGTATCTCAGTCACAGATTATGCATCTAGAAGACATAGGACGGTTTATTTTCTGCATATATTTCTAACAGTGTGTGCCTTTTAGCATTCTGCCAGAAAAACACAAATACACCTCCCCACCCCCCCCAAAAAAAGAAAAAAAACCTGTAGTGGTTTCCAACAGCTTCTCTAATTTCAGGAATTTGGGATGCACATAAATGCCTTATTAGATTCTATTTCTACAGCATTGCTGAATTAGGCAAGTGGGACTGGGTTCATGCATCTTATTTTGCAATATAAAGTGGCTAGTTGAGACATATTAAAAATTTCAGAGAAGAGCTTAACACAGCTTTATTTAAACCTCAGGAATTAGATGACGGTCAGAGGATGAGATTGGAAATCACTGAAATATCTCACTACTGTAAAGGCTGGCTTGTCCACTTGTGTTCATCCTTCTGCCTACATTCATAAATTGATGATGCTAATCTGACAAGGACTGAAAACTGTCCCTCATTTCACTAACAGAACAAATGCTAATTTCCCCCAGAGTTTATAGATACAGCAGCAACAGGTTAAAAAGTTATGTTCAAGCAGAAGCAACAGCGATCCCACTGCTAATATGAAGCATGGCTTTGCTTCACTAGTTAGCATGAGATACCTTCTTTTCTCTCTCATACTGAGCTTTCTGAAGAAGAAATTAATCACTTGCTTTTGTATGGCTCAAGAGAGACTGAAGGTAAGAACAATACTTTTTGACCATGTGAAAGAAATGACCCTGTAGGAAGAATATGCCACTAAGCTACATGTGGAGTGCCTGGAGGCTCTCATGCCACAGGAACACGGTTTTATTTTTTAAGAACTTTGAGATTCCTCTGAAGAAGTGGCAGGCAAGAGTAGAACAATTGCTCACTTTGTATTTGTTGAGGCACTATTCATTTAACATTTGGCAGCGCTTCCAAACTAACATTCTATATTAAAATACAAGTTAATAGAATCTTTTAAAAACTGATTTTGTTACTAAGCCTTGGAATAGATAATTGAAAGTGACATTACCAGAGAGATCTTAAGTCACACACATTAAGCACTAATGCTTACTTGGTCCTGAAGCTTTTTGAGGTTCACTTTTCTCTCCTCTTCAGAGTCTTCAGATGATTTTTCTTCTGAAGAGTTATCATTACTGCTTTCGCTGGAATAAGCTTCTGTCATTTCTCTCACAGGCTGTGGCAGATGATCACTCACAACTGGTTCATCAGGAATTTTAGCAAAGTGCATTTCAAAAACATCCTGAAGAGTTAGGTTTGGGAACAGCATATTTTTCAGATTTCTGAAAGTGTTATGCAGCTACTATTGCAGAACTACACAGCAAGACAGTAGTTCAGTAGATTCTACATCAGGGCATGAGATTAACTATTCTTTTTCAAGTCTGACTTAAAAGATAACTCACCTGAAGTTTTCTTGCCATAGACACTATTTCATGGTCTGAAGAATTACGTTTGTAGCAGTTCATAAACATTAATCTAACATCTGTAGCAAATTCTTGTATATCATTATATTCAAAGTTATCCATTTTCTTCTAGAGGAAAAGAAAATTAAAGGCACACTTAGTAGACAGTATCACCGTGAAGTAGCAGAAAGGAGGAACAAGTATTTTAACATATATTTTCAGGTTTAGTCTGTATCAAGACAGTAAATATTATAAAAAATGTTATGGAAATACCTGTGTCTCATTTCAACATTGTCTCTTTAACAAAGTAAGAGATTTCTTTTTCCTCTTTTAAACAGATTTAATTGTAACTGCTGAAAGGACTTTGTAGTACTAGTTTCAGCACTTGGTCAAGACAATGTTTGGGTGGTTTTATTTGGTTCTGAACTCAGCATCTGTTTTTGATTCTATGCATGGTATTTACACAAAGCTTATTCCATAATAGCTGGAGTCAAACTAATGGACTAGAAACCAGGAAATAACCTTTGTATTGTGCAAGTCAGCTTCCAAGATAATTCACTAAGCTATCATTCCCCAAAAAAGTGGCGCTTAACTGGACTAAATACTTTACCCCATACAAATACACTCAGCATCCACAGAGAGCTGTCCACATATCTCCATCTAGAATGGTTGCTTTCCACTAAAAATATGAAATGTGTCATGTAAACATCCAGTGTAGAAGTTCTACGGCACTTCACCAAGAACATTGAAATTGAGGGAAAAGGAGGAGTTGACAGAATTTAATTTTGTGTTATTGGGTATTAACAACAGCACTGTGTGTCCAGACAGATATTTAACACGTAGCAAGCTTGGAAGGCCTTCATGGAGATCATAATTCCCTCACTACTTATATTTGCTTTTTCAGCAGTTAGGTACATTAGCCACTATGTGTCACAACAAGACTCAAAAGACTTTCTTCAGTGACTTTGGCCAAGTTTGAGAAACAGAAATATATCTGGCTTCTAGGCCTCATAGGAGAAGCAGCTTTCATGACACCTTTTCAGCTAACACATTTAAAACCTTTTAATTACATGAATAGCTTAATTTCCCCAGAAACATACTTACTTTAATGGTTCCTAGGTCTGTAGGACATTTGGCAATGGCTTGGTTCACACCAGTGGAGAAAGATGCTGTATCTACAGGTTTTATGAAAGGCCACGCATACGCTGCATGTTTCTTTGAAAACATTTCTTTAAGTATTGCATTACAATGTTTTAGTTGTCCTGACAACTGAATCTTTTTAATAATTCCAGGAGGCTGTTGAGAATCTGAAAAGGATCTCTTCAGAAGCTTGTTTGTTACCATACATTCACTTTCACTTCTACATGCTTTAACAGCTTTTCTTTCATTAAACGTTGCAGAAGATTCACCACTTGCTGTGACTATTGAAGTAGTAGGAGTTGTAGTGTCAGCCTTCCTTTTCACACCTTTTTTTGCCTAAGAAAAAAAATATACAAGTGTCCAGAACAGTAAGAGAATGGTCAGTTTTAGATTTTTTGTGTGTGTGTGTGTAGCCCAAAAAAATTGTCAGAACTTTTACAGCTATTGAAGTCAGAGCAGAATGCAGATGCACTAAAAACCTACAAGGTATTACAAGACTAGCACACCAAGCTCCATCTTAGATGTAAAGGAAAGAAGTAGATATACTGCAGGCCAGGCTGTAGTCAGATTTTAGCCATTTGTGGAGATTCCAGGAAGCTGGCAGGTTATGAAATTACCTGCAAGTTGACAGCCACAGCAAGGGGGAAAACTACTGCAATTCATTTTAGGCCTGGTTGAGGGCCTTATGTACGTGGATTATCTCTTTTTTTTTTTAACTTGTGTAGTATTTGGTTTGGAAGCCATATAACACATGCTTTGTCATCAGTGTTCAGACTCCATGTGAGTGAGTGTAAATATACACTATAAGAGAGATTGGCAAAAGTGTCTATTCCTCATTGAAAGAGCAAAACCAAAACTAAGTCAATACAGGAGTTTTTCAGATGTTCACATACAACTCAGATTGAAGTAACAAGAATTTGCTTTGTGAGCTACAAACACCTTCCAGGCTGGTTACACATTGTTTAAGCAAACATGCTAATTTTTGAAGGAACAAGTATTTGATTTACATAAAAAATTGTGAGAGATTATTAAATAGAACTTAGAGCTTTATTTTAGTAGTTTGAAAACAATTATCCTCAAGGTGAAGCCTGCAGAATATATATAGTAATACACTTCAAGAATGATCATCTTCAACTTAATATTTTTTCTTTGAGAGCAACATTTTAAATCCACATTTGTAAGAAAAGATGTGCCAAGCAATCATCCCAATTTCTGTTTAGCTTCTAGAATTAGTACTGGCCCATATATTTAGCAAAGACATAGAAGATTTAATAGAGACCTCTTACGATCTTCTATAATAACAAAAGTGTCAAAACCATACAGCAATAAGCATGTCTCCTATGCTTTTGCCATAAGTGGCTGAAGGAGCAATTTCAATATATTTATTTCTGAAAGTTATTTGAGGAAACTTACTTTTGTTATAGAGACTGCAGCTGGCATTAAAGCAGTGAGCTGAGCTGCAGACAAAGGAGCCAGTGTAACCTGCTGCCGCTCTTGAGTCATCACTGGAGGCTGCTCACTGCTTTCAGCTTGCTTCTCATTTGTGCTTTGTTCATTTGAAATCCCAGGGTTGGGCTGCCATGTTTCTGTTATGTTAATACAGGAAATTTTAGAAGTTAAGTTTTAAATGTTGCAGTTAATTTCTTTCATCGTCAAATTGACCAGCTGTCAACACAACCACTCGTCTATACAGGAATGCCACAAATAAATGCAAACCAGAGCATTTGTTACTCACAGCAACATTGGTATCCTCCTCTACTCGCACCATTAGTGCTTCAGCTAGAATACCATGCCAAGTTACACCTTACTTGGCTTCAAGAAAGTGTGGGTTAACTTCAAACCAAAGACTAAAGAGGCATCATACTGTACTCTGTATATTATAAAAATGTTCTTGCCAGGGAAAGTATCAAGTTGTTTTCTACAAAAACAAAGACCAAGCAGCAAAGAGTGCAGACTGCATCACATAGGATCGTGTTTCCTAAGCATAGTTAATACCTGCATATATTGCTTAGCAGTATTACAGATTTCCACTACCAAGATCTGAGAACAGTTCAGACCAATGTTTTTCTGTGTTTGGTTTGGCTGATTAGATTATTCATGTCTTTTTCAGCTGTTACTCTGTTTACTTCCCACAGATGTTCACACCTATTAGTTTATATAACACAATGCTGAACAGCATGGCAGTCTCTGAATTGGTAGACCAATGTTTTTCTGTGTTTGGTTTTTCATGTCTTTTTCAGCTGTTACTCTGTTTACTTCCCACAGATGTTCACACCTATTAGTTTATATAACACAATGCTGAACAGCATGGCAGTCTCTGAATTGGAATTCAGGTCTTTGTCTGAAAAAAAGGAACTTTTTTAATTAAAAAAAAAAACTTCCAAAGCCTTATAGAATTATTGTTATTTGTCTGATTGTTCTAGAAAGAGTAGAGAACACCCAAACTGTCCTAGGGTTGAGTTGTGACAAATAAGATTTCCTGTTTCCAGTTCTGCTTGCTTAATATACTATAAATTTAGCATATAATACAGGCCTTACCTTCTGTCTTTTTTCCTTTTCTCTTTCCTTTATTGAGACTCACTGGTTTTTCTTCTGGTGGCATATGGGCTATTTTCTGCAGGAACACTTTTTCTAGTTCTTCAGCCATAAACACAATGTCATCACCTGGCTGCAAAATATGGTCAATACCATTCAGTAAAGGAGAAGCTGCAGTAATGGGAGCTAGCTCATAAAACAACCAGGCTGGAGAGTCCTGCCCCAAGAGATTAAAAAAAAGCCACCAGTACCAGAGGTCTAGAAATCATTGCCATCCCTGCTCCTGCAACTCACTTTAAAGCAAATTACTTCACCATTGAAATACTCTTTCCCTCACTGTCCCATTGAAAAATTCTCCTTTATCTCTACATGCTTCTGTAGCAAAAGCCAAAGGGGGCAGATCTGCAACTCCCTTATTACCCCTGTGTTCTGAAGAAGCTGTTGAAGCTCAAACATACCAAGACACGGCCAACAAATACCCAAGCACAGGGAGATGATCATGCTTCATTAAGCTGAACTTGCTGAAGGAACAGAGCATGGCTCAGGGTTGCTAGCCTTGGACTTGTACAGTAGTGTCATAGCTCTTGCTGTTCATGAGCTCTGCAGCTAAACCCCAGAGATTTCAGATGTGGAGTCCTTGTGCAGAAAAAGCTATGCACTCAGGTGTTGGAACAGTAAGCAAGACTTCACTTATATGTCCTCAGTCAATCCTAGATAAAAACCTCCTCAACACTTCAGAGAAAATAGTTTCAAAAAAACCCCATGGAAATGTCCAATAACCATGTGCTTGTTTTAGACTTGTTTGTATCATTCAGTAGAACCAGCTACTGGTAAGAGTTGGTGTTCCACATACCTTGTTGTACATGTAGCAGTTCCAGAACATAGTTTTAAAGTCCTCAATACATTCTGCAGCTTTCGTGTAGTAATTGTGTTCCAGTCGCTTTTTTATGGTGCCTAAGTCCATAGGTTTTTTTATGATAGCGTAATAATCCTGTGGTATTGAAAGAATAAGTCACCAAACACATTAGGACATGAAGATTTTGATACATTTTACACATTTAGTTATGAAAGCTAAATTGCAAGAGAGAATTGCATGCATTATATTAGAAGCAGTATTTTACTTAAAGGAAAAGCTTCCCCTATAGTCATAGGTACCAAAAATGTAGGTGTTCAGGAAATCTTCACCTTATATTTTGTCCTTGTTCTTTCATGTAACATATATCATTCAAAGTCCCAAAGATTATTTATTTCAACAGGCTCCAGAGCTCAACTGGTAGTAGTACTCGTTAAAAGTATATGCACTTCTCATTTGCTGTCTCAAAGCCATTTACACAAAGCAGCACTCCACTTTACAGAACAGAGGAAAAAGAAGCCAAACTTCAACAAAGTCTCAAACACTAACAAAAAGAAGCTGCCAAGTTTTCACAATTGCTGTTGAAATACTTTATTCCAGGCTATATTGGCTCTCCTCTTAGGGTTGGCCTAGTGAAGAAGTGGCAATATGACTGAAAGGCAGCTGGAATGGGAACTGTCATGATTGTTTTAGCTAAAATACTCACAAGGTTTTAGCATAAAACCTTGTGAGTAAAACCATGAGGCTGTTTCCCTGACAATGCATTTAAGAAATTGGAATGGAAATATCCCCACTAAGTTCACGCATACATTGTAACATATACATGGTAATTGTACAATGTAATTAGTACTTTTGGAGTGTTCTAAAGCTATCCTAACGATGTTTTGGTGAAACAGAAAAGCTAAATACATCAGAGTGCAGGCTATTTAATTTATCAAAACAAAAATGCAACTAATAATTAAGTATTGTCCATTTTGTATCTTCTAACATTTGGAGGAGAAACGCAAAAGGGGAAAATACTTTCTTGTCCTTGCCATGGAGCCAGACGTTTGTTTGTTACTGTGCAATGACTGAGCTAATACATACTCTGAGAAGTCAAGAGGCTGCCTTAGAAATCCAGAGAGGCAGAACTGGCCTGAAGCCAGCTGCAAATGTTGCCACAACTCTGATGGAATGCCCCTTAACCTTAACTGACAGCTCCTTCCAAGAAGGAAAAAAGGTAAGAAAAGACACAGAGAGATGGTATTTTGACTGTGCTTTGGTACAAACTGACCAAATAAGTTTATCACAAGAAACAGCCACAGATAAATGCTTTTGTCTACTCTAAACAGAACCAATGAGTTAGTAGAATTAGTCTTGAAAATTTTTGAGAAATAAATATTGGTGCTTAAGCTGTTGGAGGTGGAAAAAAGAAAATAATCCAAGGAATGGTTTTATTTAACACTTTTCTACTTATCTACCAAGAGCAGTATCTTCCAGGTAATCTGAAATACCATTGTGCCAATCACCTATGTTTTCCTTTGACTGAAAAACATCCAAAACTAGAGTCTAAAAATATCTGGATTAAAAACTGTGTTTCACAAGACATTATAGTAATCTATTTTGTCGCAATTAAGTTGTAGCATAAATAACATGCACGCAGCAGAACAGAAAACTAATTTAAATATTATATCTTCTATTTTATAGAAAGATGTTCTTTCACTATGGTATGATGAGAACCATAACTTCTTTATTTCCCTATTTCTGCAGGGACATTTATTTCCTCTAGAAACTTCAGAACAAGATGATTTGAAATTGACAAATACTATAGTTGTAATAACTTCTCTGCAACAAAATGGTTCCAGATTTGCCTGTTTACTTTGGGGTCAGTCAGATCTGATTTTCCATCAAAGTATTGGACATTAAGGCTGCCTAATATTAAAAAAAATACTCAAAGGCAAAAGAAAATACTTATCATATGCAGTGTTAATAAATATGTCTAAACCAGAAGACAAGTCTGAACACCAATGTACAGAAGCTCTAAGAGGCCTGTTAAAGCATTATTATTATCCCTTAGAAACACTGATTTACTAGTTTCAGATCAGAAAAATGAGCAAAAATGCAGCATTTCTCTAGAAAGAAAACACTTTTCCTGTAGACCTGGATTAATGACAGGTTCAATAGCAAAAATAGTCTTCCATAATCTGTTTAATTAGGGGAAAAAAAACCTTTTTAACATTATTTGACATAATTTACATATTAATACTCCAGCTCCAAAATGGTTCTTACAGGCAGATTCAGTGCTGCTGCATCTACAGGTTGGTGAAATGGCCAGGAAAAGTTGTGTCTCCACATGGCTCTCATGACCACCCTCTGTAAGTACTGAAGTTGGTTTGTTTGACTTCCACTACTTTTGTTATTTATGTACTCTGGTGGAGGAGGGTTCATAATAGTGGCGCAGTGCTGGCTTTGAGCAGACATCTTGAGTGAGATTGTATATCCACTTGTTCAAAGATCATTACACATTTAACCTGAAGGGAATAAAACAGAAGCTTTCAGTGAAGACATCTAGATTTAATGCTGCTTACCTGTTCACTTCTGTTTGTAGAACACCCAATGACAGGCATAGCTCTGTGTTCTAAGAAAGACATTGGTTTTAAAGTGCATATTTGGACGCACCTAGAGTCTAGGCATGCATACTAGCTTTCTCCCAAAAAAATCTGATTGTCTGCTTTTCCTAACAGAAGGAACTATTGCATGAGGTGTGAAAAAGGTCATAAGATAGAGAGCTACTGTAATCAGCACACTGCTAGAGCAGTACATATGGCCCACTCTCTACAGCAGCTGTAGAATCCCAGCTGATATTACTGATCCCACATCTTATATTCTCATTTGTTTATTTCAGCATTCAAAGCATACCTCTTCTTAGCTCCTGAAGCCTACACTTTAGCTAATAAGAGTGAATACTATTTGCACCACCACATATCATTAACTAATTGCTAATCCTTTCATCAAAATATCTATCTGGAAAGATCCAGACACATACAGGATCTGCCTCTCCTATAACCGACCAGCATTTACAGAAAAGTTCTGAGGTAGTTTTAAGGACCTCACAACTCAGCCAAGCCCATCATACTCTATTTTCAACTATTAGGATACACTGTCATTTTTTCCTGCTTTTTTCTGCCAAAAACCCCACACTACATGGTATCAAGTGCAAGCTGTTCATCTTCCCCATCCAAAGCTCTGAGAAAACTAGAAATGGAAGACAAGAGCAAATGAGTTCAGTTTAAACTTAGCAAAAAATCTTATAGCAACAAGCAGATAAATAACATTTAATACTTAACTAAGAACATAACATCTAATCTCTTGAACATTTTGTAAATTAGTACAGTAGAGTCTAGAAGAAAAGCTCAAACTTGGCTTCAAGAGTGCCAAGGAAACCAAGAGACTGAAGTTTTGTGTACATAACAGTGTCTTAGGCTTAGATGCTTAGCTTTTAAAACCTTAATTTATGCTGTGAAAACTACCTTCCATGCTTACAAGAGAGCTAAGCCTGCACCTTCTAAGACAGACACAAGTCTGTGTTTTCAATCCCTCCTTTACTACCTCCCCCTCCATCTCCCCAGTCACAGAAGCCTCTTCCCTATGTTAAAATAAAACTTATATTTGCATACTAGAGCAAAAGTGTGATCAGATTCCAACCAGGTAAGTTTTTTTGATATTTTTCAAACCATCCCTTTCCAGCCCCCTGTGCCCTTGACCTGCTGAGTCAGGTCCCAAAGGCCAAGTGGTCTTAAAAAGAGAAGCCTTGAGTGTTTCCTTAAGACCCAGTTTGGAGTTTCTAGCTGATAGAAATGTGTTTTTAGTGTAGTTAAGAGTAAAAAGCAAATAGCTTACAATGAATTACATTGTCAGAGAAGTCAAGGCTTTTGGCAAAATGTCATATCTTGTGAGAATCATTTTTTTTCCTTTTTTTGGGTAAGAAGAGATTATGTACAATTAGTGAATACTCTCTAAAATCATGCATTAAAGACCCTGCTGAAAAGGCATCTATTTCCTCTTGTTTTAGCTCTGTTTTACTATAAAACCTGTATACATCATATACTGTACAAGAATAGTAGCTTGGAGAAATATTAATATACCACATACAGAACAAAGCCAGACAGTGTAACAGGTCCTACACACTAAGAACATTTCATTCTTCAAAGCTTTTTTAAAAATTTTTTTTCAGGTGACTGCCAATAATCACACTGAACATTCATAAATAATATTGGAACCTCCCTTAGGTAATTATATTAAGGCTACACAGAACAGAGGCACAGCCTTCTTAGTGCAAGTAGCACCGTCTCTTTTAAAAGGACAACTGTTTCCATAAAGACACCCACAAAACAGCATTTCTGTATGTTTAAGATCCCTCTTGGGATACATCAAACAAACCTTAGTTATAAAGGCAACCCATATAAATATTAGGTGTTGAGAAAACACTGACTTACAGCTGTTACCATAACCAACACCAACCACTTTTGGGCAATTCAAAACTGGAATTCCACCCTCAAAGCAGATCAGTCCTCTTTTTTTACCTTAATTTTAGGGAAAGCCACAACTCACTTCCTCCCCTCCCAAAAGATGAAGGAAGAAGAGAGTTTCAGAAGGCAGACAGAGTAGTCTTTATAACCTACTCACACCCTCATCTTATTCTCTGACAATAACTCCATCAAACACCTGTAACCCTAACTCAGCCTGCTCTATCAATGGTTCTCATTGGGAAGCTATCAACATCAAAAATAGGAGCAGCTGCTAAGGGCTAAAGCACACCAGAGGGTTATTGGTGCCAGACCTGTTGTCTTGGTAGCCAATAAGACAGAGTAGAGGGATGCAAGAAGAGGAGTGGATATACTTAGGTAAATTTTGGTTTGATTTTCTTACCTTAACTTCTAAGTCTTAAATTTTACATGATGGGAATGTTTATGTTTTATCAATTATCCTGGGTCACACTGGGTTATGGTATAAGAAGATTGCATAAATAGTATGTCTGGTTAGGAGTGGTACAGTATTCATGTTTTCCTTCACCCCACAGTTTATTAGTTAAATTAAAATCCAAATTTATTTAGTAAATGCACAAAAGTATAAAATTGAGGAGCAGGTTTTTCATAATACAGTGAAAAATTTCATCCATCCCAGAAAGTTGCAAGATTCCTGCTTGCTTTCTCACCATTAGATTGTTCTCACACCCAGAGAAATCTCACACTTCGTTCACTGAGCCTTCAGCTAGTGTCCAACCAAGGAGCTATTGCAGAATGATGCCTGACTGGGGAAATATTACATCATCGCCTGATGCAGCTGGCAACTATCTATTTCTCTCTCTGAAAATTAATTTCTAAACACTTTCATTAAAATTGAGTCAATAATTTCTGACATTCAGCTGTTGAGATGCTCCTGCACCCCTGCTGTGGGTCTCCTGGCCTGTGCATGAGCAGCCTCCTCTTCCTTGCTCTCCCTGCTGGCACTCCAGCTCCTTACCCAAAACAAACGCATCCCTCCACCTGCTCTGCTCCTGCCTGGCCTCATTGTTCATTGCACTGGTAAAAGGTATCTGCTTACTCCTTGGCCCTTCTAAGTTTTTTCTTTTTGCACAGGTCCTTATTAATTAACTCCTCAAAATAATTTCACTGTGGTCAGGCCTTCATTTTTGATGGCCAGCTTTTTCCTGTGCTTTCAGAGATCATAACTGGATGTGGATGTGGGGCTGCTCTGCTCTGAAAGGGAGGTATCCTGTGCAAACTTCCATTCCTCTGCAAACTGAGCAGGAAATAAGCTCTCAGTTACTGGGCTTCTCTGTATAGGACTTCAATGCATTATTTTGAAAAGTTCAAGAATATGTCAGTTCTTTGTCCCATCCCATGACCTTTCGCCATCTTACAGAGAGAATGGGAAAAAAATTGAAACTCCTCTGATGTGGAAAAGAGAACTCTTTTTATTGTGTGTAAAATTAGCAGGATGAAATTCTCAGCATGTTTTTCACAACCAAAGATTTAAATAGCTTGCCAAGGGAAAATGACTGGCTTGTTCAGTATATTTTTGTACTCCCCAGGATGTTGATACTCAATATCAGCACTAAATTTGTGGTTATTAGAACTAACTAGGGTGAAAAGAACAGAAAGAAAACAGTTTACTAAGTCTGATTTTCACATTTTTATTTTCCTTCATGTGATGCCTTTTATATATAATTTCAGGAAATAAGCTGTTCTTTTTTTTTTCTGGGAAGTCCTCTACTGTTTTGCTAAAGCAACAGTACATGATAAAATCCTATGTGTTTAGCCATAAATTAGGGATCTTGTTGTTGTCATATGACTGAGTCCAAAGAATGCGAGTGGCCCTTCCATATGTATCAAAGTTTGGGTTCTCCCCACGCTGTCAAGCTCTTCTTGTGCTGTATGAGAAACGGTGGAAAAGATACATCCACAGCCTTGTCTGCTCACTGAATTTAATTTGTTGAAGTAATGTTCATAGAGTTGTTTGAGTCCCTGAGAATACAATCTTTTTCTGAGCATAATTTGAATTTTTAAATCCTCTTCAGTGGTGGCTTTGTGCAAGCTGAGGTGGCTCTGTATTGCAGCTGGCTAGGGTAACATACATGTTATTAATTACTGCGCCTCAGCTGAAACCTAAGAACTTTCTGAACAGCTTTAACGCAGTTGCGAGCTATTATGTATTCATACCCTTCGTGATCTAAGCTAACCTGAAGTAGATCTGACTAAAATGAATTTCAGCAGTCATTTCCATGAATAAAATTGGCTCAAAGTTATGCTTGAAATGGAAAACTTGAGGTGATGATTGAGTAGTTACATCCCCAAGCTATGTGCCTGCTTTCTCTGTGAGAGATTATGCCCTTGCAGCAGAATTGCATAAATTTATACTTTCATGAGCTCTTATCTTTTCAAATCCCAAATCATTCACCAGGTACCAATTGGAGATCCTTAAGAAAATATTTCTCTATGTTTCCTGTTGCACTGTTGCAATTTTCTGCCAGTAGATGTCAGCTCAGAACTGGTGAAAGTTTATTCTGCTTCTTTCAAAGTAATTGGAATCAGTGGTTCTGTGACTTTGGCCTAACTGTTAATATCAGATTGCTTGTTCAGAACATCAGAAAGCATCATGTCACTATTCAGACATTGAATGTATGACCAGTGTGACATTTGCACACCTGGCATTTGTAAAGTGAATTCAGACTGAATTCACTTTGATTGAAAAAGATAAAGCCAGGTAGTCAGTTATTAAACTTTGAGGAAAAAAAATTCAGGATCAGACTCTGATTCCAAGTTAACTCCTATTCTAGATTATGCTAAGAAGCCAGGGGAAAGGAACACCATGTTGCAGAGGGTGGTAGTAATTTATGGCAACCTCTATGCTGCCAGAAACAAAATTACTGGAGCACTTCTAGGAGTAACTCAGTAAACTGGTTATCCCTGTGAGACAATGTGAGGCAGGGATATGCTTGCTGCTGGGAATTTTTTTCCCGTTTCCTTAGAACTGCAGGACTAGTTTGTATGTGTAAATGGTTGTAGTTTGTATATGTTGCTGGAACAGCATTTGAGAGGCAAACCTTTGAGCCCTGGTGTTCCCAGTAACATGGCACATATAGGCACCTGCTGGAACAGGAGGAGCTGTACTTCTCTATACACTGCAGACAGGCACTGTAGCACTGTCTTGGCTTGCTTGATGGCACCTGCTCTGAAGGCTGGCAGAAAGACATTACATGTTCTTGGCATATGGTCATGCTTCAGGGTGTTCTGTGAGCAAGCATGGGACAGTTAGTCTTACCTTCAGAAATTTATGCTTCAGGGATGGAAACATGCTATTAGTGTGTTTTCCTCTTTCTCCTGAGGATTCTGGAGGTCTCCAGAAGAGATCTGAGTGCCTCAGCCATGGAGCTGTGCTGTGGTATGGGAAAGCTTGCTGTGCCCTGTGAGGCAGTGACTTCAGCCCACTGTCATCTCCTGATGGGTGTATTTTTGAGTCTTGACTGCTCAAATCCATGCTTTAGAAGTAGGTTGGCTGCTCACACTTGTTGATGAGTTGTTTATGCTGTGGAGTAGGTATTTGGTGAAATCACTGGCATTTTCTCCTTGAAATGCAGAAGGCATAGGGCATGGAGGACAGACAAGGACACCGACAGGTGTGTGAATGCTGCAGTTACTGTGCAATACTGTGAAGGGACCCAGGCTTTGGGCTCACAGAATCATGCAATGGCTGGGGTTGGAAGGAAGCTTAAAGATCATCTGGTTCCAAACTCCATGCCACGGGCAGGAGCAACTCCTAATAGAGCAGGTTGCTCAAAGCCCCGTTCTGTCTGGCCTTGAAAACTTCCCGAGTTGGGCCATTCACAATTTCTCTGGCCAACCTGTTCCAGTGCCTCACCACCCTCCCAGTAAAGAATTTCCTCCTACCATCTAAACTAAATCTCCCTTCTATTAGTTTAAATGCCATCCCCCCACATCCTGTCACATTATTTGGGATAGGCTGAAGCCATGTTGTTGTAGACATCTGGGAGAACCAGCAGTTTTGTTCCAGGTTTTGCATTCAAGGCCAGCTGTGACACAGTGCAGCTGTCTGGCTTTGGATGGAACTGGGAAGAGAGCAGTGTGAGAAAGGGCTGTGAGGAACATCATCAGGATCTGCCTCTTTTGGCTCAGGTGTGTGCCCTTGCCTGAGCTATGTGGTACTTGTATGCATTCCTGGCCATATCCTTGCTAGTGCTGATCCTCAGCTGGCTTCCTGGCTTTACCTGGGACCTACTTGGTCACCACCAACTTCTGTGACAATCACTGGACTATCAGCTGACCCTGGTTACTGCTGGCAGAGCTGCTCTTCCCTCCGCACCTGGAGACTTCAGGATGGGGACCTTGCTGGTGAGGCCACTGCCACCACTGGCTTTGTGCTTACTCAGCATGGTGGAGCAGCCAGCTCCTGCTGCTCCCTGACACTAACCTGCTGCTACCAGGCAGCTATCACAGGCTGATTTATCTTCTGTAGATTAAAATCAAAATTTTAAAATACATGTATAAATTAAAATTAAAACTTGTCTTGGCAGTTCAGTTTTCTGTACTAGCACCATGGAATCTGTTAGGAATCTGTTAAATGATTAATGATGTGTCTCCTCTAAATTCATGAAGATAAGAATTTATAAATTATTTTCAGAGATTAGGCGTTTGAACTGGTGTCTTATAGATGGTATATCTGCTCCCACTTGATCCTCTAAAAAGAGAAAATGGATACATAAATTCCAAGAAAACATTATTCCTAATTTTTGCGGACCGCAGCCTAAGTCAATGCAGAGTTGTGGATGTCAATACAATAAATTCAGAAAAGTTGAATTGCACACTTCCAGTGTCATTAGGATATTAACTGCCTGTTTGTTTAAAAACTTGTTTTTAGTGACCTTGCTGCTTACTGTGTGTCATTACTGGGTGTTTTTTGGAGGTGGGGAGGTTCCTCACTATTGCTGTTGCTCAACAAATGGAACTTTTTTAACATCAGCGGGCCAAGGATAGTAGAACTGGCTGTAAATGTTTGACAGTGGCAAGAGGTGATTTTGTTGAACTACATTGAAGGTTGATGCTGGTGACAAAAATCCATTTGGCTACCAGTGTTCCCAGGGCCCTCAATTAGACTGAGTTAAAAAACTTTGCACTGCAGACCCAGAG